CAAGTCAGGCTTCCTAAACTTCAGTTGAATGATTTTTCTTAATTTTTGAACTGAATACATTAGAGAACATTGATTTTGGGGTATGTCAAAACTTTCACTTTGAGAAGCAGTGCAGTACAGTGAGCCACCATTAAGAATAAAAGGACAAGTCACAAAATGCATAGGCTGCTTGCAACATGCTTATCTGACAGATTCTATCAGGATGTATAAAGACCTGCCATGAGTTCATAAAACAAAAATGGATAAACCAATAGAAAATGGTCCAAAAAAATCAAATGGTTACTTCACAAAATAGGACAAATAGCACATGAAAATGTGCTTAACTTATAAGATGGGAAATGCAAATGAAAATTACAAGCATACACTGCTACATACTCAGCTGACTGGCTAAACCTAAGACTGCAGAAAATCCCAAGTGTTGGCAAGACCCAGTGACCTGAACTTTCACAGCTGGGGAAAGTGAGATGTCTGCTGAGGTTGAATGGATGCATGCATGTCCCCACACAACAATTCCACTCCAGGCTGTAACCAACAGACACGTGCATATAAGGCCTATACGAGGTGACTAGAGCAGCAATATCCATAATAGCCAAACATCTGGAAATAGAGTGAATGTCCAAGTACAATAGAATGGTTACTCATATGATGAGTATTCTACATACATGAAAATAAGCACACTACACCTAGATGCAGCAACAAAGGAGTATGTAGCACAATCCACAGTGAAAAGAATCCAGACAATAATATCCTGTATAAATTACTTGGTACCATTTTATATAAGGCAAACTCATTTATGGTGTCAAGTCAGGACAGTGTTAACTTATAGCAAGGGGAGATGTGGAGTCCAAGAAAGGGTGTTGGAGGATGGCATGAGAGGGCCTTTAGAATACTGGTGGAGTTCTCTTTCTGGGTTGCTGTTACATGAGTATGCCCAATTTGAAAATTCATCAGCCCAAAAACACTTTTCCATATGTGTTATATTTTGATAAAGTTTACATTAAAAATGCATCAAGTCATTACATTGTGAAGGTCATAAGTAGACTACTGCATGAAGAAGAAAAGATCTTGATGTTATTACATAGGATACTTGGGGAATTAAATTTCCAGAGGCCACATCATTCATGGATGCAATAATGTATTATCTAAGAATTGAAGGTGATGTGCTGTGCTGCAAAAAATGTGGAGCCACTTCAGGGATGTCACTGCTTTTGAAGATGCAAGCGAAAACTAGATAGAATTACTATATAAAATCTTTTGACATAATGAATATTTTTAAACTGATACCTAAAGTAATTTTAAATGTATGTGTAATAAGACATGACCAGTAGACATGATTCTGTAGTTAAGAGTTTATAAACATGCTCAAATTAGCCATGCAACTGTTTTGGGTTTCAGCATTAGGAAATGTGTTCAAGGTTGTCAGTATATAATGTTACATTGTTTCACAGAACTTCAAACTAACACTATTAAAATTAAATGTGCCAGTTTTGATTTTAACTTTTCATTTTTGAAGCTTAGATTCCAAGTTATTGGAAGAACTCGGGTCTTGCATGAAAATAGTAAATGTTATTGGTGTTCAGTGGTAAGAAGATATTGGCAGGTGTGAAAGGACAAAGGTGCAACAGTGGCCACAGCAGCATGGGTTCAATAGAGGAGAAAGCATTAGAATACAGAAGAGTTCAAGGTGGCTCAGAAATAAGATCATAGCATTTATTTTAAAAAGAAAAGTAAAAAGACTTCTTTCCCTGCCTTATGAAAAAGAAAAGGCCTGCTGCCATGAGGAACATCTTAGTTTGGAGGCTGAAGTCTCTCCATCTTGGCTAGAGAGGAAGTAGTGCCCTTCAGCAAGGGCCATTAAATACATGGCGAGCAGCCTCTGCAATGGTCTTGCCCACCCTGCATGGCGATATGAAGCTTCATGCAAACAGGAGGAACAGACCTGAGGAAGGTACACGGGGGACAACTAAGGAACAGGTTCTAGATAAAGCTGGCCGGGCACCAAGCAGCATTTCACCCCATTGAGTTCCTAGCATTTAGTTCTGAGCCTTTGGCACAGTTATCTTCTTTAATCTACATATATGGCTTAGGAGGATCTGTTCCAAAACTCCAACGATGCCCACATCACCCTAAATACTTAGGTCACCCCAGAAGAAGTCAATGGAAAGTAAATTTCAAGCTACATAGAGTTGACTCCCACCTTTGGAAATAAGGGAAGCCTTTCTAAGACTGTTGTCTAGCTTCAGGTAGAAAAGCACTCATGACAAATACAATGGTGAGCAATCTTGCCATTGGTCAAAGAATTAAAAATTACAGTAATTACACCAACTGGGATGCCAAAGATATCCTTATCAAATTCTCAAACACTGAAGACACTCACTTTTCTGAGGAATAGGCTCTTGGCATACTGACTATCACAGTGATTCTGTCCCCCACTTATGCCCTCAGCTTGGCATAAAAAATGAACAATAGTCTTATGCATGAAAAATTAGAATGATTAAAGTTAGCAGTAATTCCAATAGGAAAGGCACTGTCGTCAATCACTGACAGTGCAGACACACTGTGTTTTTTGTTTACTCTGTGCCAGGAATCATTACTGCTAATGGCTGCTGTATTGGAGAGATCAGACAGGGACCATTTCCATTATCACAGAACGTTCTGGTGGACATGCTCTAGGCATGACCTGTATCCCATACTTTACCTTAGAATTCATTCTGACTGATCTTCCAGAAATGAAAACAAAATCTGAGACCCATAAATTTTTCCACAGTACAATTCCACTGACATTCCACATAAGAGAAGCACGATATGATTCTTAAAAATGTATGTTGGTAGACCTGGCCTCAGATTCACTTATTTTACAGGTTAGGCATGTGTTTTCCCATCAGGCCACTTAGATTTCAATCCTGAATCTCCATTTTACTTGTCACCATTGGCAATGTCTAGAGACATTTGGGGACTGAAGCTCGTTGGAGAGCTAGTGCATCTACATGGATGCTACTGGCTTCTAGTTGGTAGAGACCCGGATGTTACTAAACATCCTCCTGTAGGGAACAATGACAGAGATACCTGCATTTTGATGAGGGAAACATCTAAAGGGGCGTGCAGAACAACAGGCTTCACGGAGAAATCATAGACCTCTCACAAAATGCAGCTGCAAGATGTACGTGGCAGTGCCAAGGCCTGGATGAGCTGACCAGACCCTCTCAGAATGTGCTTTTCGACAAAGAAGAGGTTGGGAAGGTGGCTGAGTCCAGTGGGAAGTTGACCCAGCACAGGCAATCACAAATGTAGCAAGTTTCATGATAGAAAAGTTGGACCTAAGCCAGGCAGAGCCCTGTACTTCATTCTGAGAATCTGGCTTTCCCTGAGCCATTCCTGCCCTGTGAGCATTGCTGTCTTGTGCTTGCTTTACTCCTTAATTCTTGGTCCAGCGTCTTCGATCATGGACTTTGCGCAGTCATGAACCAGGATCAGCAATCCAGTGTCACTATGATGCTCAGGACAATTGCCCACAGCAAACATTTTCTGGCCCAAATGCCAGTAATCCCCAAATTGAGAAAGCCTGACCTAGTCTGTGGAAAATCCATAACACTTTACAAGGTGCATATCTGATGTTCAGTATGTCATTCTCCATGGGTGCTACCTTTTCTACACTCTCAAAAATTAGTCTGCTATGGACAGAATCTTTGTGCTCCCCAAAACTCCTATTTTGAAGCCTGAATCACTTATTTTACAGCATATGGAGGTGAGGACTTTGGAAAACAGTTATGACTGGTGCATGGAGTTTTCATCAGTGAGACTAATGTCCTTATAAAAAGATGAAGAGACCAGACCTGTAGTCCTTCCAAAAGTGAGGTTATAACAAAATGGTGTCCCCCTGAAAACCAAGAATAAGGCAGACACCAGGAACAGAGCTGGCTGGCTCCTTAAACTTGGACTTCCCAGCTTTCAGAATGAGATGGAATAAATTTCTCTTAAGCCACCCAGTCTGTTACAGCAGCTGGGCTGTCTAAGACAATTTCCTCATCCACAGAATCAAGTAGACTTGAGATTTTTCATTTTCATTGCATCCCTTCATTGACTTCCTAAGATTGCATCCTACTCAATTCAAACTCCTCAGTCACATGTTTACAAATCATTTTTGTATTATTTATTTAGATACTTAATATTTGCCCATTTTATTATATTTTCATTATCAAGAATGTCAACCTCCCTTTGAATTTCAGTTTGCTTTCAAATCAAAATAATAATACAGATTCCTAATATTTTTTAAAGAATAGAATTTTTTGAATCTAGTTTCCAGAAGCCATTTCCCCTAGTGGTCCTTTCAGCAAGCTCAGCTACATCATTTGCAGGCCTAGAGCAAAACGAAAATGTAGAGCCCTGGCTCAAAAGCCCACTGACAATAAGAGCAAGTGCAGGCAGCACCTGACCTAGGGGCCCTTTGCAAATGCTCCCGTTGTGCCACGAAGCCAGGAGGAACAACCCGTCTGACACTGGTGAAAACAGCCCTTTGTAGTGGTGTTTGATTTTCTCAAAAGACAAAGTACATTCACAGTTTGTTTAAATGAAAGAGGCAGAAAGTCAGTGAGATCTGTCGTTGATCATTAATCAGCAATTTGCACAGTGTTTTACTGAGGGAAGATTGGATCTGCAGGAGATTCCAAGTAACTCCACCAGGTAGGTGGACAGAGAGGATCTGGGGTGGAAGTGAGGACATGAAATGAAGCCCCGGTGTCTGAATGACCGTAAAGAGTTACACAGGAACCTTTTCCCTGAGTTAAGTGGACCAGCCATCGGCTTCTTAAAGGCTCGGCCTCTTGCTGCCCTCTCCTGGAACGTTCTTGGGACACTGGACAGAAGGAGGTGGGCAGGGGGCGGGGACACGGAGGGTGGGTGGGCAGGGGGCGGGGAAAAGGGCGAGCCCACGGAGGGCGGGCCAGGGTTGGGCGCGAAGGGGGAGTGGGACTGGAGGGGGTGGGATTAGGGGCGTGGCCAGCCCGGGTCCTAAAAGACTAAGTTGAAGCCTGGCTCTTCCCCTGTGGTGGCTTCTGTCTCGCTTCCACCGCTGCTCCAGGTAAGATGGGGTTCTAGCCTAAGCCGGGTCGTATTTGGCCTGTGTGGGGCTGGGGCAGGGGCCTGGTCGGGGCGGGCATCTGCAGGCCTAGCGCCACCAAGCCGTGGCCGGGAGCCGGGACCTCGTCGCTCCCCGCATTTCGGCGCGGAGCTCCCGGTCGCGCGTGACCAGCGCCGGGCGCGCTGCCTTCAGGGACGCTGCTGTCCGCGGTGCCCGCCGCGCTGTGCGGCTTTTCCCAGCGCGCGGAGTAGATGTCACCCTACCTGTGGCGCCAGGGGACAGCGGTGACCGTCTGCGTCGGGGGCGCGCACCAGGGTGCGGACGGTGCGGGGAGGGTGGGGCGGTACCGCGTCTCTGGACTCAGTTGAAAATTCGGGTCGCACAGTGAACTGAGAACTCAATAGGGAACCGCCAATTTTGTTGGGGTCATTTTTGATTTAATAATTAAATAAAAATGACTAACAATTTCTAAGGACTTCTACCAATTTAAAAAAAGCATTTTCATGTTTCTTTTACTACAAGTATTAGTTTAGAGTTTTAATTAAGGAACATTCAAAGAGCAGTGGTAGGAGACTACTTGTGGGATAATAACAAAGTGAATAACAAAGTTTGAATGATACAAATAAAAGGCCAGCTAAGTTTTTAATGTTTCACATTGTAAATTCAAACATTCAAACAGAGACACAATTATTAAGTTCCTCTTTTGTACCAGATACAGGCTTAGTGTATCACGTTTTGAGAAAGCAGACATAGTCCCTTTGCATTAAAAAAAAAGATTCCTTGTCGAGTTCTTTAGCAAATAAATTTTATTCCTTGGTCCCATATATATATAAAAATGATTCAGTGTCTGCCTCTGATTTTATTGTTTAAAGCTGGATCATGAATAACTGAGGTTTATATATAATAACACCGTATAGGCAGTTTGTCATTTTTAAGAAGTAATCTTTTGTAGACTGAAAACATAAATTACATATTAACAGACGGTAGTTTCTCTGTGTGTGATTGTAATACCCTAATCCCATAGCATTAGTCAATCTTGGAATGTACTTTCTTGTTTTTAAAACATTTTTATTGGTATGTGGTAGTTATACAGGGGGTTTCATTGTGATATTTCTATGCATGTGAGCAATGTACCCCAGTTTGGTTCGTCCCCTCCATTATTGTGCCTTTTCTCCCATTCCCCTTCTTAAAGGCTTCAGTAGGATTCAGTGTTCAGTATTCATAGATGTATAGAAAAATATGTCACCATATTCACTCTCCTTTATCCTCTTCATTTACCCTACCCTCCTGCGAGTACCCTTGAAGTGTACTTTTTTTTTAAGTACTTAAGGGCTGTAGAGAGGCAGTACAACCAGGCAACTGAGAGTAGGAACTCTGGTGTCAGACTCCCTGAGTTCAAATGAGAATTTTCCAGTGTAAAACTAATTATCTAGACTTACTAGAGGATTCCTTGAAGATGAGATTTAACTGTTCTCATTTAGGATTTTGCAAAGGCATTTCCAAAATTAGCCTTTTAAGATTGTCATTACATGTCTTTATGAGAGTAATCTGCAGTTTAATCTGGTGGACATATAGTGGTACGTTTCACAGAGGCCACCAGAGTGGTACTACCTGTTCCTGGTGCCTGAAGCTTTCATTTCCTCTGTAAAACCTAGCATTTTACATTTTAATGCTGTGCCTCTATGGGGTGGGAAGGAAATCCTTGAGTTGTACACATCAGAATCAGTTCAAATTCCTCTTTGCTTAACAAGTACTTAATCTAAAAATGACTTTCCCATTTAATTTACTTTTTTTTTTGCGGTACTGAGGTTTGAACTCAGGGCCTTCCACTGTTTACCCATCATTCTACCACTTGAGCCATGCCCCAGCCCTCCATGTGTTATGTTTGTTTGCTTGGTGACACTGGAGTTTAAACTCAATGCTTTGTGCTTGAGCCACACCTCCAGTCCTTTTTGCTTTAGCTTACTTTTGAGATAGCATCTGGCATTTTGCCTGGAAAGTCTGGGACCATGATTCCCCTACATCTTTTCCCCTATAGCTGGGGTTACAGGTGTAACCACTAGGCCTGTCTTCTTTTTGGAAGCAGACTCTTTGTTTTTTGGCCCCGGCTGTCCTCGAATCACAATCCTCTCATCTCCACTTTCGGAGTATCTGGGATTAAAAGTGTGAGCCACCACTTCTGACCTGACAAGATGTTCTTTTAATTTACTACTAACAGGCATATGTTTACTTGTTCTTTTGTTTTAAAAGGAGATATATTTTTCTGAAATTTGTGTATTACCTTTTCTCAAAAACTCCCAAAGAATGAGTAATTTGATTGTTTTAACATATAAAAAAAAAACCTATTTCACGAAGATGTTACCTGTAATTATCAAAATTATTGTCACATCTTCCTCCTCTTATAAAATCTTAACTTTTTGTTTCAATACCCCAGTATTGAAATTATAATATATAAATTATAATTACCAATTGATAACTTCAGATCTTTAAAAAAGATCTGATTTAAAAAAATTTAGGATAATATACAACAATCACTAAAAGCTTATTAATAAATTAGTAACAATATAACAAAGTACTAATGTATTCTAGTAAGAAGTATAAATAACAAAAGCAAATGTGAGTATTATTCTCTTAATATTATTTAGCAGGCATGTGAGAAAAAGTTCTAGGTAGAAAATAGGTGTATGGTCAAATAATTTGAAAAACAGTTTTGTTTCAAGGTTTTCAAGAATTGAGTCTTTAAAAATTAATGCGATTAATCTTCACTAATAGGAGAAGAATGGCACTGAAACAGATTTCCAGAAACAAGTGCTTTGGAGGATTTCAGAAAGTTTTTGAACATAACAGGTAACTATTAAGATACAGATAATTTTAGATGTCTCTCAATCAATTTTATTGAATTTTTTATATAACTGTTTACATAGTGGTATAACATTTTACTTTTAGACCTGCCTGTTTCTCTCTGTGTATGTCTCTCTCTCTCTTTCACCTTCTATTTGACAATTTCACCAACTTAATTGGCTAAGCACTGGACTTATGAGTTGAAGAGGAGCCTGAACAAAGACTATCTTCAAGCTTTGACTTGATGGCCTTCTAAAACGTTGTGAAAAGGTCTATATTGCCACTAAAATTCTGAGAACATCTTTCTTGAGAATTTTTTAATGTAAAAGACACCTGGCCTTGATAAAGAAGGCAACTTACTAAATGCCTGCATTTGCCTCTGTTGCTTCCCCAAATCTGACTGACATATATTGAGTAAAGACGGCTCACACACACACACACAAACACACAGAGAAAGGCATGAAGAAGCAGGGGTCACATCCTGCAAGTAAAACTACCTTCAATATTATTATCCATTTCTTTCTATTATTATTATTCTTAATACCTATGTATCTATGTATCAACCAAGGGCTCATAGGCCAAATTCAATTCATGACCTTTGCATATATGGCCCTAGAGCTATGATGAACATCTGTGACCTATCTGATAAGAAACACTAATCCTGAACTCCAGTTTTTGTGTGTGTGTGTGTGTGGTTCTGGGGTTTGAACTCAGGCCATCCTACTTTCAAAGCAGGCACTGTACCACTTGAGACATGCCTTCTGCCATTTTGCTTTGGTTATTTTTATAGAGATGGGGTCTTATGAACTATTTGCCTGGGCTGGCCATGAACCTGATCCTTCCAATCTCAGCCTCCCATGTTATCTGAGAATACAGGCATGAGCCACCAGCACCCGGCTTTGAACTCCAATTAAGCAAAACAGTATCTCCCTGTTATTGATTGAATGGTGTCCTCCCCAAAAAGATATGCTGAAATACCTCAGAATATGACCTTTGGAAACAGAACTGTTGCATACAGAACTAGTTAAGATGATGTCAAGAAAGGTTAGGCCCTTTCTTACAAGAGAGAAGACGGTGAAGACAGACCACACTCCATGTCATCAACACCAGGTGATGATACAGGCAAAGACAGGAGTGATGCAGACACAAGTCAAGGAATGCCAATGATTGCTGGCCACCACAGAAGCTAGGAGGAAGCAAGGAAGGACTCTACCCAGCATTGCAGAAAGAAGTCCACCTTGATTTCAAACTTCTAGTTTCCAGACCAAAGAATAAATCTGTTCTGAGCTTCGCAGTTTTGGTACTTTGTTATAAAGGCCCTATGAAACTATTATAACACCCCATGTCCCCCTAAATTAATTCCATCCTTCTTATTAGATTTTGTATTACAAAAACTTATAGCCAATTACTTTGAATATTAATAAAAATATTATGAAAAGTAAAAAAAAAAAAAAAAAAAAAGAAGCAGGGGTCAGCAGCTAATCACAGCAGTTTAGAAACAGGAATACAGGTGGACAGGGCACTACCTACAGCAAAGCTTAGAGACCTAAATCCTAAACATCAGCAAGAGAAAGCTGAAAAGTGACAGTTAAATGCAGCCTTAGGAAATGAAGCTATCAAGTACACCTGGGAAAGATAAATTGGAACTCAGTAAAAAGCAATTAGTCAAAAGTTTATTTTAAAAACAAATTCCATATTATCCCATCATTCTTTGTATACAGGATGCTACCTTTCCCCAGTTCTGGGCAATGATTGGAGGTTTATTCTTTAGTGAAGGTGTACTTGATGGGAAGTGTAGTAATGTAAGTACAGTAAGCAAATACTGGTACACTGAATTTCTTCCATTTGTTTCCAGAACATGGGGAATTAAATTTATAACCTTTTAGAAGAGTTTTCTTTGGGAATTTGACTACTCTAAAAGAAGAGGTCTCTTCTTTATTTTGCAAACAAAATAGCCCAGCCAGATATCATTCTACAGTGAAGAAATGACTGACATCCCTACCAGGCACACTGTTTTCAGTCACATTTTTAGTTTTCTGCTCTTAAATAGGAGTAGGTGGCTAAAGAGCTCTAGACACTCATGTGACTCCTCAAATTCAAAACACATATACTTATGGCAGAAAAGCATTGAAGAAACAGACTGAAGGAGATAAACTTCAGAAGTACTGCTGTTGGCCTGGGGGTGTGCTTCAACCAAAGCAGGAGAGCCTGCCTATCAAGTGTGAAGCCCTGAGTTGAAACCCCTGGACTGCCAATCAGAAAAACAAACAAACACTGTTACACAGGTTACTCCAGAGGAACCTGCACACCCATGTTTATTGCAGCACTATTCACAATAGCCAAGTTATGGAAACAGTCAAGATGCCCCACTACTGACGAATGGATTAAGAAAATGTGGTATCTATACACAATGGAATTTTATGCAGTTATGAAGAATGAAATGTTATCATTCACTGGTAAATGGATGGAATTGGAGAACATCATTCTGAGTGAGGTTAGCCTCAGAATGGCTCAAAAGACCAAAAATCGTATGTTCTCCCTCATATGCGGACATTAGATCAAGGACAAACACAACAAGGGGATTGAACTTTCATCACAAGATAAAAGCGAGAGCACACAAGGGAGATATGAGGATAGGTAAGACACCTAAAAAATTAGCTAGCATTTGTTGCCCTCAACACAGAGAAACTAAAGCAGATACCTTAAAAGCAACTGAGGCCAATGGGAGAAGGGACCAGGAACTAGAGAAAAGGTTAGAACAAGAAGAATTAACCTAGAAGGTAACACCCACGCACAGGAAATCAATGTGAGTCAACTCCCTGTATCCTTATCTCAACTAGCAAAAATCCTTGTTCCTTCCTATTATGGCTTATACTCTCTCTACAACAAAATTAGAGATAAGGGCAAAATAGTTTCTGCCGGGTATCAAGGGGGTGGGGGGGAGAGGGAGGGGGTGGAGTGGGTGGTAAGGGAGGGAGTTGGGGAAGGGGGGAGAAATGACCCAAGCATTGTATGCACATATGAATAATAAAAAAACAAACAAACAAACAAACCCATGTACTACTGATACTGTCCAAGGCATAGGAGATGATACTGACTTCTGACATCGGGAAAATGATATTAAAAATATTGAAGAACAAAACAGAGCCCAGAAATTTAAAATTTGATAGTAGAAATAACAACACTCCTTAGAAAGATTCATTGATAAAATTGAGCTTCCTAGAAAGTAGGACAAGACCAAAATGGGAGATTAGGGAGAAAAGATAAAATTAGAGGACTAGTCCAGGAAGCCCATTATCTATTAGGAGTTTTGAAAAATAAACAGATGTGGCTATAAAAGATAAAGAAATCTTGAATTCTTAAAGTGAATGGTTTAAATTGCTAGTCTGAAAAAGTGGTCCAGCATAATAGATGAAAATACACCGGCAACACTGAAGCAAGTGCATTGACAGCAAAGACAAAATTCCCAAACATCCAGAGGGAAGAAATGTATTAAGAAATTAAGAATCTTCAAAGATACAGGTTAGCTCGTGGACAATACCAGAATCAAGAAGGCAGTGGCATTGCCTTCAAACTCCTGAAGGATAGCTTCCAGGCCTGTCACGTCACTTACGTGTTCACAATAAGATGAAGACATTTTTGAATACATACGTGTATTTCCCATGCAGCTCTTATACAGGCAACTGGACCAAATGTGGACCATTTGTGCTTCACCAAAATGAGGGACTGAAAAGCAAGAGAGCTGAGTACATGTGATAGGAAAGAGGATCAGAAGGGAAGGAATTTCCAGATGAGCATGGTGATGCTAAGGCAGCATATCAGAAAGTCAGAAGACAACAATAGCCAGTAGTCACATGCACCCATTCCAGTTAAACTAATTATGCATCTAACATTCAGTCTTCTGGCCACACTTCAGAAGCTCAGTGGTTAGCTACAGGGACTGGAAGCTGCTGTATTGAGAATGCAGGTATGGGACATTTTTATCATTGTAGAAAGTTCTGTTGGACCATATTGGTTTGGTGAGATTTTAAAAGTCTTTTTTTTTGTACAAAATAATAGGCTTCATTATGATATTTTCAATCATGTATATCATGTGTTTGGATCATATCCATCCCCTCATTGTCCTCAATTTTTTTAAGAAAGTGAAATCTATGCAATTGACTATTTGAAAGGAAATTTATATAACTGGATGAGAGGGGAGTTTGGTGTTGAATTAGTGATAAAACAGAATGGCCATAGCAAACCCTATGGTTGAGATTCTGTTCCTTGGTAATGAGCAAAGTCCTAATGACCTGAGAGGGACAGAAGTTTGAGAAGCTTGCTTAAGTAGGTGTTAATCATACTATTGTTTGAATTGCTTCAGACCTGATTTGTTCCACAACTGCTGGAGAGAGGACTTTTAAACAAAAACCATTTGTAAGAACACTTCACATGGGATCTACCCTGTTGACAGTTTTTCTCTGCCACTTATTTTGTAGATTTCTCTCTCTCTCTCTTTTTTTTTTTTTTGAGCATTTATTGCTTTTAAGAAATTTTTAAGTGAACAGGAAAGGTTGTTTTTTTCCTTTTTTTTTTTTTAACACAGGGTCTCCCCACATAGCCCAGACAGCCCCGAACTCTCAGTCTTCCTGCTTAACTTCCCAAGTGCAGGGATTAAGTTGTGTGCCTCCTCATCTAGCTTAGAAAAGGTCTTAAGGTACAGAATGCAAAGGCAAGGTGGTAAGTTAACTAAAATCTGCCGTAATGGGAAATAGATAAAAACTGAAACTGAAAAAAATTAAGAAACAGCAGTGAAAGGATGTTATTTAGATGTGGTGCTAAGTAACAGAAGAATCAGATGATAAAAGGTAAAATGCTCTTGAATGTGACGAATTGAAAAGTTGTGGGTAAGGGAAAAGTAGTTTCTTACAGGGCTTATAGAAGAATCCACTGTTTGTAGTTCCATTTACTTCAAATTATCTGTACACACATAACTAATGAAAGAATAGCTATTTGTTCTGAAGCAGTAAGTTGACTTACATCTCTGTGCTTTTGTAAATAAGCCCATGAGAGGTCATTGTTGCATAAATTACTGTTTACATGGGAAAATAACTGAGGTTTTTTTTTTTTTATCAAGATTGTCTTAGCTAGTTGTAACCATTGTGATTGTGACAAAATATTAATGATGAAAGAGCAAATTAAAGATGTGCATTTCAGTGCCCATGAACAAACATGGGATTTAAGATAGTTGGAATTCATTTTCATCAAAGCTATTGTTCTGTTTCTTTGGACATAGAAACATTTTTTCTTGTAAGAATAGAAGTGCTACATTGAGCATTACATTTATTTTTCTTGACTTATTCTGCTCCAGATGACTATATTTCATGCAAAGCATAGGCTCGGCTTGGTCAGTGGATCAGTGTTCTGAACTGGCTCCATTCTTTCTTCAAAGGATAAAGTATATTCCTTAAATGTTGGTGGAATTACTTACTTTGGACATTAGATCACTTTTTTGACACTATACTATATATTTTATATTTTACATAATGCTTAATTTTTTTATTCTGTCTTGATTAATAAAGAGCATTAATATTTGCTGTGGTTTGGTCATTGTTAAAATTGTAGTGTTGAGCTGAAATGCAAAATGAAATTTGCTATCTACCTACCACCAAAGGCAGAAACTGAAAAGTGCCCTGCACTATATTGGCTGTCTGGTAAGTATTACACACTGAATTTTATGAAGGAATTTCTGTTTCTTTTTAATTGGCTTATTTTCTTTTATTGGTATGCTTTCTGAGCCACTGGTAAAAGTTTGTAGAGGCCTGTCATAATCTGCTTTGAAACATTATCTTGAAACTAATTTCAGACCTATGAAATTCTATTTATTTCACCTTTTCAATTAGACTAAGTGACATAGCAGAGGATATAAAATTCTGTACTCAATGGCAAGGACTTGGAAAATTTATTTACTTAATTTATACTTGCCCAAGCATTTTTGAGTTTGTAGAGAGTTTACTAGTCAAATGGGACAATTTTAGATGAAGGCAGGGTACTGTGATACACTAATTAGAAACCACAGACAAGAACTTCCTACAGTATCCTCTATACTATCTTAATTGGACTCAATAGAGCATCTTTGGTAGCAATCTGGAAAGTCTTAGAGAACACTAATTCTTCTTCAGTGATTAGAATTCTTAATCAGACTGCAGAGTAGAATGTGGGAGAGTAAGACTTTGACAGGAGCCAAATGAGCCAATATGCTAACTTTTCTTTCAGGACACTTTTGGAAGCAAATATTACACTGAGAGTTAAAGCAACCAAATTTTTTATTTGTGTAATGAACTGTTATTTTGTTTCCTTAAAATTAGTTCTGATAACATTGATTCACTAAATCTTCCTTAAGAATGTATCATCAAGGATAAGCCCTAATACCAGTCTTTGAAAATGAAAATAAATATTTCACTTTATAAGGTCAAAGTTAAGTATGTAACTTTTATTAAGTGTGATTTTAACTTAATAAAGTATTTCTGTGACAAATGAAGAACACGAATTTTACCAGGAGAGAATTAGATATTGTAAGAAACATCCACGAAAAAATTAAATTTTAATTGTTTTAGAAAACATAACATGTATAGCTAAAGATAATCTTAGAAATCAAGTGATCTATAGAATGAAAACTGAGATGCTGAGTAGCTAAATAAATGCCTATGAACAAGTTTTCTGACTCACAGTCCAGACCTATGTTCAGTCTTTGCCCCTTTTTGTATTTTATTTCTGGTGAGTGCTATTAAAGTCATTTATTTTGACTAAAGATTTTGTCATGGGTACTGTAATAATCAGACCTTAAATTCCTGACCAGAATTGAAATGGATTATCTAAGCTTTATGAGTATTAAATACAGGATTTTTGTTAGTTTACATCAAATAACAGGACAGTTTGCTTAGGGAGATGCTGAAGAACAGGTAAATCCTGGGAATTAAATCTGGTTTTCTGAGAAAAGGTAAGATTGCCTGGCTAGTGAATTTGAGAAATGATGATGAAAGAATTCCACAATGTTTATTTTCCAGTAAGTTGAAGGAGAACAATGGCAAAAAGGTTACATCAATTGTTATCTTGTTAAAAATGATAAATTAGCTGAAATCCAAACTAAAGTCTTCAAAGTTAGCCCCTATATGGTAATTCCTATCATTCCCAAGTCACGGTGACTTTCAGAATAGTTCTTAGTTCCCTGTATACCTAAGAAAACATATGTCTGCACAAAAACACATCAATGTCTGTAGCACCTTGTGATTGTCAAAAAGTGGAAACAAACTAGATGTCCTCCAGAAGATGACCTCTTCTGATAAAATGATACCACAAGAAATGTGGTATATCCATAGAATAGTAAGTTATTTTGTAGTTTTTTTCATTTTTCAATAGAATAATACTAAGCAACAAAAAAATAATGAAGTCATCATACATGCTACAACATGGATGAACCTTGAAAACATTATGCTAAGTGGAACAAACCATTTTGAAAAGACTACATATTCCATTTGTATAAGTGCCCAGAATAGGCAGATTCATAGAGACAGACAGTAGACTGGAGGTCACGGAGGGGATTGGGATAACCAGGGTGTAATTACTAATGAATGAGGTTTCTTTTGAGCGATGAAAATGTTCTAAAATTAGTGGTGATGGTTGCATAACTGAAAATATTCTAGCAGTCATTAAATCGAGCACTTACCTGAGTAAAGTAGGTTTCATTAATAACTACATACCCTATCAATTTAATCATACACTCCTGTAATGATACTTGTAACTTCATGTCCTAGAGGAAGTTATTAATTTAACACATTTATGGGCAACTACTTCAGGGGTCTTGAGGTTATAGATAATTAGCAATGTTAAGTGTGTTTTATAGTTCATATTGCACCATGCCTATTCATAAGCTTCCATGTTGCTAATTACCCACGTATTAGGATATGTTGCACTGACCACTGAAAACTTATGTGAGGTGGTGTTTAGCTCAAGCATTATCGCTAGCTCAAGGCCCTTCTCCCATCGCTGTAGTCTTAGGTACATCTGGTAAGATAATTTAGTCATCTCTTTATCACATGACTGAAAAGTACAGCTATAGGAAAAATGACAACATGTGCTAAAACTGAATTTAAGGAAGGTACCTGGTCATCATTCTTCTCTTGTTCAGTGAAGAATACAAAGACTCATGTTTGCTAACACCCTGCTGGGGTTGTTTTAATATTGACCGTCTGCCCTATATTGCCGTTTAACAGTATTGCTGGATTCCCAAATCATCCAGTCTAAAGAATTACAGTAATTTAAACTTCAGCTACTTAGAAAGCATAATTACAGGATCATTTAACCTAAGACAGTTCTTAGCAGTTTTGGTGTTAGTGGCTGCCTAAGAGCCAGGTACAGAGTGGGCCATAGTGCCGTACTTCCCTTATTCCGCACAGGTATCATTTCCATGACATCCCCTTCCTCACCTGTGTACCAAACTCTGCGGATGCTCAATTTCCTAATATGAAATGGCATTTAAGCTGATTGAAACATTACACAATGAATATATAGATTAAAATGGCACCACTTTCATATGTACACCTTTTATGCTTTTATATATCAGTTTAAAAACTAATAAAAATATAAAATAAAAGAATTTTTAAAAGATAGGATTTTGGCTTTTTTTTTTTCTTCCTTCCATACGGGGCCTTCAACTCAGGGCTTATACCTTCAGCCACTCCACCAGCCTCTTTTTTTCTGATGAGTTTTTTCAAGATAGGTAGGGTCTTTCGAACTATTTCCCCCAGCTGACTTTGAACCACAATCCTCATGATCTCTGCCTCCTAACTAGTTACGATTAGAGGCATGAGCCAGTGGTACGTGGCTTAAAAAAAAAAGTTCTTAGATTAATACCGTTGTAAATTTTGTAAAAAAAGAAACTTTCTTATCTTACTCAAATTATTTCTAATGCAAAAATAAAATTTTTGTAAAACAAGTGAGCATATTCTCCTGTATTATAAAACAATTAAAGCTTATAATCAAGTCTGGCATGAGATAACAAAACTTTTGATCTTTAGGTTTAACTTGTACAGAACAAAATTTTATAACGAAGTCTGGTTTTCATCGAGCTGCCTCAGAACATGGCCTTGTCGTCATTGCTCCAGACACCAGCCCTCGTAAGTATCTTTTTCAGAGATCCTTTCTAAAGATCTCCATCTTCAAGTCTAAATAAAACTGGTGTAGTATACAGATGAATGTACATTCATGTCCTAGTTTTTCTATTGTCTCTTAACCTCTCAGGTGCCATCATGATTAAAACACCGTGATGTATGCACTAGGCTAGAGTGATTCCAGAGTACATAAGGAAACTTTAGTTCAAGATAGTGAATTGACTGCAGATATGTGTCTCTCTTCCCTTCTGCAATCACAGTGATAAAGAGAGTTAAAGAAGTGTTGGTAGTCAGGAAGGGACATAGAGATGAGATCTCTACACAGCTCTGAAAGACGGAGATGACATGTCCTTTGTAACAGAGTAATGAAGGGTATATATTCAGAATACTTAGGAGGAACTGTATCAATCAATAAAGCTCCTTTCTTTGTTCCTTTTCCTGGCAACTGAATTCTCCAGGTTGGAAGGTCATTCATTCCCTCTCTCATCTCATTGACCAAAGCTAGCCACATTCAAGGACAAAAGGGACAGGAAGTATAATTGCACCGTGTACCCAAAAGGGAGAAAGCACACAGTGTTTGGCAGACAGCTCTAGTGCAGATGAACTTGCACACTCATCTAAAAGTGTGGCATTGAACATGAGGACCGATTACCGAATAGATGAAATCACCAGGTTTTTCCTTTACAGGTGGCTGCAATATTAAAGGAGAGGATGAGAGCTGGGACTTCGGCACCGGCGCTGGGTTTTATGTGAACGCCACTGAAGACCCTTGGAAAACCAACTACAGAATGTACTCTTACGTGACAGAGGAGGTAATTTAATTTGTATTGTAATTATTAACTGATGGCTGCCAAGAGTTTGATTTTAGGCACAAAGTCCTTTCAGTCCTGAGAATTTTAAACTGTGCTATGGTATTGGAGAATCTATTTTGTACATTTTTATAAGCATCTTTGTGAAGATCCTAAAATTTTGCTAGTATTAGTTTATTTGCTGCTGCTAACATCAAATATACATTTAAGTATTTTAGTAATTATTTTGCAACCTGTGCATACTGCCCAGAATATCAAAGAAAATAGTGTATTAAACAACAGTTCATTTCCTGACAGCTGGGTGACTCAGCTATATTTTGTAGTGACAAAGCAACACATAATTAGAAAGGATAAGTGGTAAAACATTCTTCTATCAATAATATTGATGTGTAGCTTGTGCATTTTTATGCATTTATGATTTTATTATATATATCATAAAAACTTAGATCCAATAATTAAAATTCCAACCACTCCAACTCTTCTATTTATTTATTTGTTTGTGTATTTATTTATTTATTGTACTAGGGTTTAAACCCAGGGCCTAACACATGGTAAGCAAGAATCCTACCACTGAGCCATACCCTCACCCTAGGGAACAATTATGTTTTGGTATATTCCAGACTTTTAAGTTTTCATTTCTGTATTTGTATTTGAGACAGGGTCTCACTGTGTAGCCCATGCTGGCCTCACAATTGCCCTGCAGCCCAGAGTGACCTCAAACTCATGATCCTCCTGCCTCAGTGTCCCAAGTGCTAGAATTACAGAAATGCACCACCATACCCAGCCAATACTTGTTTCTTTCACTAATTTTAACCTAATTATAAAACTTTTTTAATCTTGTCCTTTATTTCAGTTGTATAAAATAGGTATCTCCAAATATTCTAATTTCAGCAATTGTATATTCTGTCATAATCTATTTATGTTTTATATATATTTTACCATATCAAACATTACTACATTATCTATGTGCATAGTCCCCCCTTCTGTACTTTTCCCTTATTACAGATTCTAAGAAGTGAAATTACCAGGTCAAAACTTGACACTTTTTGCAGAGTTTGCATCATCTTCCTAACTTCCTCAACTTGCTTTTTAAGAAATTTGTACCATATTCAGGAGACAGAGATCAGGAGATCAGAGTTCAAAGCCAGCTCAGGACAGCAGTTCGTGAGACCCTTTCTCAAAAAACCCATCACATAAAAGGGCTGGTGGAGCGGCTCAAGTTGTAGGCCCTGAGTTCAAGCCCCAATACCACAGAAAACAAGACAAAACAAAACAAAAAAGTTTGTACCATATATTTTCAGTGATGTATTAATAACCATTGCCTACCTGAGGTTTTTCTTTCTTTTCTTCTCTATTAGTTTATACCATTTAATTTGTAAGTACTGATTGTGCAATTATTGTATATAATTTAGAACAATTCTAAACTTACTTTCTCTTGTATCTTTTATTATACTACAAAATTCTTTCTAGCTTCCCCAACTCATAAATGCCCATTTTCCAGTGGACCCCCAAAGGATGTCTATTTTTGGCCACTCGATGGGAGGCCATGGAGCTCTGATTTGTGCTTTGAAAAATCCTGGAAAATACAAAGTAAGATTACCCAAGCTCCTAGTGATAAATATTTCTCTTGAATATTATAATGTTAAGACCTTAGATTGAAATTATGATATTGTTGTTTCAGAATCAGAACTAAACTCTTCTAGGGTTGGGTATTTCAGGAGGTTGACAAGAAGGCATCCACTTTGATTATATGATATATGTACTACAGAATCAGAAGCACAGAAATTCTATCAGTGTTTTCTTTTTGGCCTATTAGAAGCATTATAAAATGTTTATCTTTTCCATTGCTTTTTTCAAACAAATTTTAACCACGTTTCTTCCGCTTTCTAGGCTTTTTTTTTTTTTTTTGTGGCACTGTTGTTTGAACTCAGGGCTCCAGGCTGCTAGGCCGGCACTCTACCACTGGAGCCACACCTCCAGTCTTTTGTGCTCTGGTTATTTTGGAGATAAGGTCTCACTTTTTGCCCAGACTGGCCTGGACCACGATCCTCCTATTTTGTTCTTCCACTATACTGGAAAGACAGGTGCCTGCCACCATGCCCAGCTTTTTTCCTGGAGAATGGAAGTTTGACACACTTTTTACCTGGGCTGGCCTGGAACCCCAGTCCTCTTTATCTCTGCCTCCCTTGTATCTTGAGATGACAGATGCCACCACACCCAGCTGTTGGTTAAGATGGAGTCGTGTGAACATTTTGTCCAGGCTGGCCTTGAATGGTGCTCCTGGTCTCCGTCCCCCAAGTTGCTAGGATTAAAAGCATGGGGTCACTGGCACCAAGCAGATATTCTATATTAATATCGTTGGCCCACTATCTTATCATTTATCTTTATTTTTACTAGAAATCTCTTTCTACGGTTGAATTTGATTTTTTTTATTGTTGTGCTGGGGGTAGATTGTGGCACTTATAAAAGTTCTTACAATATTTCAAACATATCATACACTCTATCCGAATTTGATTTTCTGAGGTAAAAGATGGTCACGGTTTGTAGAAGTTTAAGAATTCTGTGTTCCTAAGACCTATAATGAAAATTGAAATGCGGTTTGAATGAAAAACACCACTCAGCCTTTCAGAATATTTATTTGATGCCTTATAGGTTGACATTTTTTTGTGTAAATGATCCAGGTTTGAATAACCGTCATACGAGAGTGCCATACTTTGTCTGTAGTGTTATATGCACAGAGCACTACGTTACAAGAATTGAAAAAGGAAAGAAATGTATGGTGAAGCAATGATCATTTTAAGATTGCTTATGTTTTTATAACCATGGGCTAGTCCTTAATTATCTTCAGACTTGTTGAATCCATTTGCTGTCTTTAGGAGAGACTTCTTAGAAATTTCAGGTGAGCTACTGAGAAATGAACTATTTCTCATAGGTTTCAAAAGGGTTTTATTTTCCTGTTTTAAAAAAATAATAAGGCAGTCAATTTATTGTGTCTGAGGCAGAAAAGCAAACTTAAATTTTTGGTCCTTTAAAAATGCTAGTAGTTTGGGTGAATTCAACTATGATGTATTTGATATATTGTAAGAACTTTTGTAAATGCCACAATGTACCCTACCAAAACAAACTAAGTCATTATTGATAAGTATGTACATTGATAAGTATTCTAAAGCAGAGAAATCCCATATTTTCCCCAGTGAAAAACAACATTGTATAGAATACAAAATTGAAGTAGAAATTCTGTCCTACATAAAAGCATTCCTCACTGCTTTCTTGGCACTGTTGAAAAGAACTGATGCTTCAGATTGAGTAATATCTTCAAGTTCACTAAGGTTGGCATGAAGTGTTTTATATTACTACAGATTTATTCTCAGTGGAAAAAAGTGGAAGCTCTGAACATGCACATCTGTTAGTACCATAATTAAATTGTAGTGCATTGCTTTGCATTAAGTGTCTACATGTATTAGTTCTCTTAATAGAGTACACAAAAGATACGTTATGAAGAGGCCCACAGTTGAGATCTGTTGTCCACAGTGTTTTCATGGCTAGTCATAATTTTTAAGAAAATTGTGAATATATTTATATTAGATTTAGCAAAATGTAACTTATTTTTAAATTTCTTTGGTTTATGAAGTCTGTATCAGCATTTGCTCCAATCTGCAACCCAGTGCTCTCTTCTTGGGGCAAGAAAGTCTTCACTGGATATTTGGGAACAGATGAAAGTAAATGGAAGGTAGGTACTGGATGACTGTGTCCATACTCATTCTTCAGTCTGTTAAAGTTGTTTAAATGCTGCACATATCATAAATACTGTATTCTTAGTCACTCAAATTAAGAGAATAATTGAATGTTTCTAGATTATGAGGCAAGTACTAGACCTTAGCTTGATCTAAATAGCAAAAGTATAAAAAAGCAAAATCCCATACTACTTTCTTTATTTTTGAAAACAATTTTTTATCTCTAGTAGTGTGTACATATTTTAACCCTTCCTATCTGTGGGTTCTACATCTACACTGAAGCACAAAACAGAATTTTTAAAAAAATTATGCCAGTACCACACACATGCAGACTTTTTTCCTTATCTATTTTGTAGACAGTGCAGTATGACAACTGTTACATCACATTTACGTTGTATTAGGTATTGTAAGTGATCTAGAGATGATTTAATGTATTTGGGAGGATGTTTGCAGGTTATATGCAAATACTATGACATTTCATGTACAGGACTTGAGCATCTGTGATTTCATTATCCTTGCAGTGCTGGTGCCACTTCCCCACAGATACCAAGGGACACCACTATCTAACAACTGTAAAACCCTAATTTCTAATTTCTTTGAATCATGAAAGATATTTTGAGGCACCTTTTATTCTGCTAATGTTTTATTTATATTTTTGCTTAGAAATTAGCAGAACTAAAAAATCATATTACTAAATTTAAAATGGTATGTCTGATTTGATCAGCCTAACACCTTACCTAACTTATAATTTCTTTTTGGATCTAATATTAGTATATTCTTAAGAATGTATGTCTGGGCAATTTTATTTTCGTTTTCAGTGTTTTTCTTTTTACAGGCTTACGATGCAACCCATCTTGTGAAGTCCTATCCAGGTTCTCACCTAGACATATTAATTGATCAAGGAAAAGACGATGAGTTTCTTTTAGACGGACAGCTACTCCCTGATAACTTCATTGCTGCCTGTACAGAAAAGAAAATCCCTGTTGTTTTAAGATTACAAGAGGCAAGTACTAGGAAACTTTAGTTTGATCTAAATAGCAAAACTATCAAAAAGCAAGTTCCCATACTACTTGTCCTAGCTTTATTTTAGAGTAGTATTAAGTAAGATCTGCTTACATTAAGACACTTGAAATGAAAGCCTTCCTATTAAGTTCATGATATCCAAGACCAAATTTGATAGAAATAGGAAAGTCTTTGACAAAGAATATGTACAAATTTCTCCCCATTGGCAAGCAGTAGAAAACCTGCAGTTTAATGCTTGAGTGATACACTTCATCTCCTGGATATACTTTCTTTACATACGCACAGCTGTTAACAGTGGAATAAGGCCAAGCTCCTCCCTTTGTTATGCTTCATTTTCTGTACCAATCCAAGTCTCAGAAGCTAAGCATTGTTGGTTTCACTTGCAATTCTGTATTATTTGACTTTTATACTACTCTGTTGTGCTACTTGGAATTTCTAGTGGTTGAAGACAATTATAGAATTGCAATTAGCTGTTAATTTTCCTTGACTAAAATGCTTTTGACTACCTACTACTCACCTATTCTGCTTTGATTGTTTAAAATCTGCTCATAAGCTGCGGACATAATATAAACAAAATCTTTAGTACACAGTGTCTGCATATCTTGTGATCATTGAGTATCTATCCTTAAGTAATAGAACTTTTTAGATTCATTTGAATATTTATAATCACAACTACATTTTAGACTGACAGCCTAAACCTTGAGAAATCCAAATTCCAATTTGATTATACTTGTTTAGCTATACTAACAGTAGTTATAAGTGATGCACCAAATCACGTTATTTCCAAATGATCTTAACTTCATGGCATTAGCCACGCTGAATGCCTTGTCTACTCATGATGCTGTGCCAAGAAATTCTATTGTTTCTATAGACAAAGTTTCTGCCTGTCAACAGAGTCTGAACATCTCTGGAGTTTGTTGCAACAGCCTAGAGTTAGAACATAGAGGACACTGATAGAGGGAAAAGATAAATCAACCTATTTAAACACCTATAATCCCATTCAGTGAAGAAAAATACTGTGATTGGCTCTATTATGAGGAGTCAAGACAGAGCATCAATTCTTATAAGAAAGTATTAAAATCACCAATCACAATATTGAACTCAGTACAATTTTCACTCATCTTTCTTCTAGAAAAGTCATAAGATTGAGAACTACATGTCTGAGGCAGATTTAGGTTTGTTGTAATTGAATCAACAACTTAATGGACATGTCTGAGCAGTGTCTCCAGAGAGGCCACTTTCAGAGTTTTTTTCAGTCAACTTCCATTAACTTCAAATTACCTTACCTTTGAGAATTTTTTAATCATCTAATTATAAGTATAGTATAACTGTACTTCTTGGTGAAATAGGAGCTGTGAAAAAATAAATAAGCTGAAAATGACAGGGTATGTGTAAAGAAGTGGTCTAAAAAGGGAAAAAGAAAATGACTACAGTCATGTTTATGATTTCCCTAACTTCATTCCTTTGCCTCTTTTTAGCTTGTTAAAAATTCACAATTTATACTCACACTTTGTCAGTTGTCAAAAAATTTGTTTTGAGAGGGAGGAATTAATGCATGGGAATATTTACTTATTTCATATAGCCTTTCATATTTGCCTTCAGGAAATATAAATTGAAAATAATAACAGCACAATTCTGATAGCTGATGTATGGAGATCAAAAGTTAACCTGAAAGAGTCAGGTTAGTACATCCTACCATTAGTGATTAAAGTTACCTGGTTGGGAAGAAAATTCAGTGACCTAAGACTGGAAATTTCTAGAAGTAGTATTTCCTTCTAGGAGACTAGAGAGGAGAGGCTGTCCTCTCTTCTCATGTCTCAGGACCTTTTGAAGATTCAGAGGCTGTTTTGGCCTCTCCTCCTGCCTTCTAGAGAAGAGTAAGAACATGGCAGACGGTTCCAGAAATGCAGGGCTCTCTCACTCATCATGCCAAGCAGATGTCTAGCACATAGACTGCTTGTTAAATGAATAGATGAAACCCTTCAATAGTCTTCTTTGTACTGTGAAGAGACTTAACCTGGGGATTCAGATTTGAATTTTTCTAATTGGGTCTGGAAAATGTGTAGGAAAACACTGCCTGTTAGATAAATGTCCATCAGAGCTGCAGGAGCAGCTTCTTTTTAAGAGTTGAGTGGAGAATGAAAGAATGCATGCCTAGCAAGTATAAAACCCTGAGTTCAAACTCTAGTACCACCAAAAAAAAAAAAGAATTGGGAAAGAAATGTTTTTCTTTAAAATCTTTCTTCATGTAAGAAACTGTTCTTTAGCTCTAATTTAATTAGCTGGGAAAACTCTTATCATTATCTTGCAAAACAAGTAATTCCAAGGTTCAATGTTGGTCTTGACACCCTCCTGTCAGATTCACATCCAGACCAGAAAACTTCTCAAATGAAGTAGGAAGTAGGATTCTTAACATGATTTGTGATGGCTGTGTTTAGGCTGTGTGCCTAAATAATGATACAGCTTTAGGCATTTTTGTGTTCTTTCTCTGTATTTTTTGTGTGTGCCAGTATTTTCAGTCACTATTTTATTGATATCAGCATTCTGCTTTTCTGAGTTAAAATTTCTTGCCTGGGTTTCTAGGCTTTCTTCATTCTAATTCTTTTAATCCTTGTCAATATGACTGCATATTTAGTTAATGTGTCATTTCTTTTCTTTGTATATTAATGGCAACATTTAGAAACAACAGTGTACATGCTTAACTATATTTTTGCTGGTCTTTTATTCTGCAGTTTCAATGTTAAAGTATTAAGTATGACAACTTTGATTTAATTAAACCTTGCTTATATTGCAATACTTTATTCTCTGGCAAATTAAATGACAAGAGAGATACAATTAATGGCTGTAATATTGAGGTTTCTGAGTGGTAGACAAGTATCTTATCATCTCTGTTTTTGGTCTTCTAGGGTTATGATCATAACTACTACTTCATTGCAACCTTTATTACTGACCACATCAGACATCATGCAAAATACCTGAATGCATGAAGAACTTCAGACAAGAGAATCTCTTCGGGATTACAAAAGTTGTAATAAACCAAACTGCCAAGAGAAAAAGATTTCAAAACATTGGATTTCATAAAGCTAAAAGCACTTCCTTCTACAGTTGAATCACCTTCTGAATAAATATATAAAATCTCCTTCTGACTTAAAAAGTTATTTTGCCAGTGTTTACATAGGAAATATTTATTAACTTACAGTTTTTTCAGTGTCATTTGGGAATCCTTGTTGTATTAACCTCAGGTCACAATATATGGATATAATCCTATTAAAATTATGAAATGCTAAATCTGAGAAAAAGGATTTTAAAGGTAAGTTAGCCCAACTTCTCATTTCCAGACTTTGAACTTCTCAAGGTATGGACTGTCTTTGTCATGTCCATTGTTATCTATAGTGTCTAGCAAGTACTTGATATAATACCTGGTAGTTAACTATAGAACAAGGAAGTAGGCTCAGAAAGTTAAGTGACTGCCTCATCATTACACAGCAATCTGTGGGACAATTAAGATTAGTCGTCATTATACTGCAATCTGTGGGAAAGCTAAGATTAGTCATCATTACACAGCAATCTGTGGGAAAGCTAAGATTACAAGTCAGGCTTCCTAAACTTCAGCTGAATGATTTTTCTTAATTTTTGAGCTGAATACATTGGAGAACATTGATTTTGAGGTATGTCAAAACTTTCAATAATTTTATAGTAAGATTCAATCTGAAAATGGAGACTTGCAAATTCTGTTACTATAAACAAATATTTTTCTTTAGTCAGAGGCAAAAATTTAACTTGGTGAGTTCACCAAGAAAAGCAATCAGTCTCTTGGTAAATACCAAATAGTATTCAGGAAGGGAAGGGAAGAGCACAACCAGGAGGGACCTCCAGGCATGAGCTCAAGCTGCTGTCCACAGGCAGAATGCCTCCTTTCCTAAGGAAGCCCTGGTCTTGCTTTTAATGCCTTCTTACTGATTGAGTGAGGCCCACTATATTTCTTCTCAGATTATAAGAATCCATCTCAATGACTTTACTGTAGAAAACAGATAATCTAAAACTAACTTCTCAGTACTAATTTTGGGTGCTTCTCGAAGTCATCTCGACATAATCAGATAAAGAAGCAGGCAAGGGAATCTTAGATTTCATGGGTTATATTAGATGTTTATTCCATCTTTCACTTTGAGAAGCAGTGCAGTACAGTGAGCCACCATTAAGAATAAAAGGACAAGTCACAAAATGCATAGGCTGCTTGCAACATGCTTATCTGACAGATTCTATCAGGATGTATAAAGACCTGCCATGAGTTCATAAAACAAAAATGGATAAACCAATAGAAAATGGTCCAAAAAAATCAAATGGTTACTTCACAAAATAGGACAAATAGCACATGAAAATGTGCTTAATTTCATAAGATGGGAAATGCAAATGAAAATTACAAGCATACACTGCTACATACTCAGCTGACTGGCTAAACCTAAGACTGCAGAAAATCCCAAGTGTTGGCAAGACCCAGTGACCTGAACTTTCACAGCTGGGGAAAGTGAGATGTCTGCTGAGGTTGAATGGATGCATGCATGTCCCCACACAACAATTCCACTCCAGGCTGTAACCAACAGACACGTGCATATAAGGCCTATACGAGGTGACTAGAGCAGCAATATCCATAATAGCCAAACATCTGGAAATAGAGTGAATGTCCAAGTACAATAGAATGGTTACTCATATGATGAGTATTCTACATACATGAAAATAAGCACACTACACCTAGATGCAGCAACAAAGGAATATCTAGCACAATCCACAGTGAAAAGAATCCAGACAATAATTTTCTGTATAAATTACTTGGTACCATTTTATATAAGGCAAACTCATTTATGGTGTCAAGTCAGGACAGTGTTAACTTATAGCAAGGGGAGATGTGGAGTCCAAGAAAGGGTGTTGGAGGATGGCATGAGAGGGCCTTTAGAATACTGGTGGAGTTCTCTTTCTGGGTTGCTGTTACATGAGTATGCCCAATTTGAAAATTCATCAGCCCAAAAACACATTTTTCTATATGTGTTATATTTTGATAAAGTTTACATTAAAAATGCATCAAGTCATTACACTGTGGAGATAATAAATAGACTGACTACTGCATGAAGAAGAAAAGACCTTAAAGTTATTACATAGGATACTTGGGGAATTAAATTTCCAGAGGCTGTATCATTCATGGATGCAATAATGTATTATCTAAGAAGTAAAGGTGATGTGCTGTGCTGCAAAAAATGTGGAGCCACTTCAGGGATGTCACTGCTTTTGAAGATGCAAGTGAAGACTAGATAAAATTACTATGTAAAATCTTACGGCGTAATAATATTTCTAAACTGACATCTAAAGTATTTTAAATGTTGTGTAATAAGACATGACCAATAGACATGATTCTGTAGTTAAGAGTTTATAACATCTCATGGCCAGCGTGAGTAGGTCCGTTGACCTGACTGGGGGCTACTGAGTATTAAGAAAAGACGCAAAACAGACATAAAGAAAAGCTGGGATTGGGTGGGTCCGACACTCCTGATGAGATGCCTGTGACCCCCTCTGCCTCCAAGAGCATTTATTTATACAGCATGTATGAGAAAGCGGGGTGAAATACAAGTCGAGTTCTCATGGCTCCAGTCGCATAGGCAGCAGGAAAAGAGAAGTTGTGGTATGCTGTTACTTAGTATAGACTATCCTGACCAGGTCAGTGTGTCCTGTTTTTCTTGCAAGACAGCCTTGCTGAACCTTGCCTCCCCTGGACTGGGTCTGTGCCTATCAGCCAAGAGGCCCTTCACATAGCTGTGCTCACATCAAGGCCTACTTCCACTGCCTCAGCCTCCACATAAACACACTCAAATTAGCCAAGCAACCATTTTGGATCTCAGCATTAGGAAATTTGTTCAAGGTTGTCAGTATGTAATGTTACATTGCTTCACAGAACTTCAAACTAACACTGTATTAAAATTAAATGTGCCAGTTTTTATTTTAACTTTTCATTTTTGAAGCCTAGGTTCCAAGTTACCTGAAGAGCTAGGGTCTTGAATGAAAACAAATGTTACTGGTGTTCAGTGGTAAGAAGAAATTGGCAAAGGTGATAGGGCAAAGATGCAACAGTGGCCACAGCAACATGGGTTCAATGGAGGAGAAAGCATTAGAACAAAAGAAGAGTTTAAAGTGGCTTAGAAATAAGATCAACATTTACTCTCACAAACCTGTCAAACAAGAAATTATAACAAAGTGATCCCAATCACTACAGCAACAAAAAATGGAAATACAGAGGGATAATCCAAGTAAGAATTGCATAAGGCCATTACAAAAGTAAGTCTTCAACAAATAGAGAGCAATTATCGTATTCACGGAATAAAAGGCTCAATATTATAAAGGTATTAATATGCCCCAGATTAATCTATGAATGGAATGACTTTTGTTTTAGTGGGACTGGGTTTGAACTCAGGACTTCATGCTTGAAAAGCAGATGCTCTATCACTTGAGCCATATCACCAGTCCATTTTGCTCTGGTTATTTTGGAGGTGGGGTTTTGTGAACTGTTTGCCTGCGTTGGGCTAGAACCACACTCCTCCCAATCTTAGTCTCCCAGGTAGCTAAGATCACAGGTGTGAGTCACCGGCACCTGGTGAATAGAATGAAATCTCAATCAGAACCTCAATATGTGTCATTTTCATTTCTGTTGGCACACTATCATTGTACGGGAAGATAGGCTAGAATCTCAATATTGTTAAGGGAAGTCAAGGAGCTAATTATAAAATTTATATGGAAGAAATATATCAAAAGAGATTGAGAAAGAACAAATTGCTCCACCAGATGGCAAGGCCCATTATAAAGCTGTGACAGTTAAAATGAGTTTTCACTCTTAGCAGAATTCAATGGATGGAAAAGTCCTATCACATACCCAATGGGAACTTAGTGCATTGTAATGGTAGTATCTCAAATCAGAGAGGGAAATAGCGGAATTACATCATGAATGCTCCTGCAAAAATATTTTTAGCAGCTTCATGTAGAAAAACAAGACTTGTGCAAGGGGCATGCTTTAAATCCTTGTTTGTAATGTGAAAACAATCCCAAACATTTACAAATAAAAGTCGCTGAACAATTCACATAATTTGATACTATATTGAAACCGTGGAAAAAATATAGCAGCCATAGGTACATGTATTAGTTACCTTTGCATTTTAGGGACCAAACAACTTAAGGTTGGGAAGGTTTTTTGGGCTCACAGTTTCAGAAGTTTCAGTGCATAGTCCTTGGTTCTGTTGATTCTGGGCCATAGTGAGGGAGAAGCATGTAGCAGAGGTACTCACCTCATGGCAGGCAGAAAGGGAACAGGGACTAGGTATGACCTTCAAAGTCATCCTCCCCCTTGGTGACCTCCTTCCTCAAGATAGACCCCACCTCCTGAAGTTTCCACCACCTCCCAAAATAGCACCACCGGGTGGAGACCAAGCACTCAACCCATGAACCTGTGGCAGACTGTTCGTAGTCACACCGTAACTCCTGTCCTCCAAAGGCTCGTGACCATCTCTTAATGCAAAGTCCATTGAGCCCGTCTCCCAGACTGTTCAAACATCTATTCAAAGTCTCCTCTGAGACTTCAGCAAACTCTCAACCTTGAGCACCTGCAAAATAAAATGTAAGTTCCATACTTCATTCCCATTCTGAAAGGGAGGAACAAGAGAAGAGCAAGAATGGATTGGACCAACTCAAGACTTAAACCCAGCAGAACAACTCTAAATCCTATAGCAACATGTAGCTTCAGGGTACATTGAGCATCCCCAAGGGCTCGGGTGGTCCTAACCCTAAGACCTTGCTATTTGTAAAAATATTGTGGCCAAAACATAGCGTATCTACTGTCCTATTAATTTGTACTCTGCCTGTGCCAAGGTTGGCCTATAAACATACACTACTCTGCTCCAGGAGAACATAAAGTATAAGTTTCTCACTCTTTAGTAATCCTGGAAATCTAGAAGAAACAGTCCTTTTGGCCTCTGGAGACATAGAAACAATCTACAGCCTTGTATTTGGCTGATGTTCAGGATGGCAATTCAATAACACTGCATTTCCAATTCCATTCGTGTGTTTTGGCAGGTGCCAGCCTCTGTCTCTGGTGACACATTAATGAGCACCTCACTTTCTGGTGATATG